AGACAAGAACAAAGTCGGCCTTCGATCAGCTAAAAAACCTCTACAGCGTTAAAGGACCAATGTCTCAGCAGGACCTTGAAAAACTAATTTGTGTTTTAGTATAATTACTGTAACTGTCCTCACAGGTCTGCTGAAAAAGTCAATCAAACAACTGCAGCTCATGCAGGATGCTGCTGCCTGCGTCCTCACTAGAACTAAGAAAGTGGAGCACATCACCTCAAGAATAGGCTTTAAAATACTTCTGTTTATCTATAACAGAATCTCTTTAACCGATACAGATTTGTCATCAGTCTTTCAAAGGCCCAGACCTCTCAGGTCTTCTGGATCAAAATAATAATAATAATTTAACTTTATTGATCTCACACTGGAGAGATTCACCTCTGCATTTAACCCATCCCCTTGGGGAGCAGTGGGCTGCCATTGCGCGGGTCTTGTAAGTCCCCTTGCTGAGGGACCTAGAGTGCAGGCTGTGGGTATCGAACCGGACACTTGCAACCTTGTCAGAGCACACTGCTATAACCACTAGGCCAGGGGTCTTCAACGTTTTGAGATCTGGGCAGGAGTGTCCACGTTCCGGGACCCCCTAATTATATATACAGGTAAAAGCCAGAAAATTTGAATATTTTGAAAAACTTGATTTATTTCAGTAATTGCATTCAAAAGGTGCAACTTGTACATTATATTTATTCATTGCACACAGACTGATGCATTCAAATGTTTATTTCATTTAATTTTGATGATTTGAAGGGGCAACAAATGAAAATCCAAAATTCCATGTGTCACAAAATATGAATATTGTGTAAGGGTTAAATTTTGAAGACACCTGGTGCCACAAACTAAGCAGCTGATTAACTCAAAACACCTGCAAAGGGCTTTAAATGGTCTCTCAGTCCAGTTCTGAAGCCGACACAAACATGGGGGAAACTTCAGATTTGACAGCTGTCCAAAAGGCGACCATCGACACATTGCACAAGGAGGGAAAGACACAAAAGGTTATTGCTGAAGAGGCTGGCTGTTCTCAGAGCTCTGGGTCCAAACACATTAATAGAGAGGCAAGGGGAATGAAAAACTGGTCAGAAAAAGTGTACAAGCGAGTAGGGCTGGGTACCGAACATCGGTTCTTTTATGGTACCGACCGAA